ATTTTTTTTACGAGTACTTTATGGTATCTAAACAAATAAATTTAAATTCCTGATTTTCGGAGCTGAGGGACACCTAGTGCATATAAGGCAATAGTAAATAGGCTTCTGGAGGGGAACTTGTATTAGCTCATATTTAAGTTAAATGTATTATACATGTAACAAGCATGCAGAGTATGCCGTTACAATATCAATACATCAAAGCTGCATAGGTGGCGGGCGGGTGGGCGCGAGCGCGTCTCGTGCTCGTCTAGGAAAGCACACAGCGAGCTTCTGGGCGGTTCTCATAATATAGCCTGGCAGTGGAAAGGCTGCGGTGCTGCTGCAACCCTTGAGCGTAACGCAAACTGCAATTTCATAAGGCTCCGGTTGGTAGCGTACAAGTACGCGCACCAAGAAAGGGCGCGTACGTACGTATACCCCCATTGCCAGGAGGTAGGTATATAGAAAAAGAGAGAGAGAGAGAGAGAGAGAGAGAGAGAAAGAGTGAGAGTCGACGACGACGACGGCTCTCAAAGAAAACAGTCTAGTGCGCGACACGCACTTTAGCTGCAGCCATTTCGAGGCTCCGACTCTCTGTGTGTTCATACAAACATACACACACAAAATGTACGTGGCGCCAGTCGAGAACATGAAATTTTTATCCCAAACTTTTATCGGACATCGTGCAACGCGGCCACTTTCTTTCTTTACGCTAAAAACATACGCTTTGGCAAACGAGGCGCATTTCGAGACTCTTGACACTCGAATTTGCTATACCGTACACACACCTCTCTGCTGCTCCGTACTCGCGCTCCGACTATTTTTTTCCGCGACTTGCGTACGCACATACGGCCGCAGTACATGTATAAGGTGTGTGATGAACGTATATATCGCACCTCATAATTCATATTTTACGGAAAGCCACACTGCTACCTGCTAATCGCTCAATCAACATCTACTGGCGCGGTATATATACGTTCGCGCGCGCAACGACTCATTATCTCTCCTTTCATGTGCGTCGTGACTCGAAGAAGAAAAGATCGCGTCGCTTGCTGCGCTGCGCTTATCATTTGAAACTGCGCGGGAGGTGCTGTTATAACGCACACTTATATACACTCGAGTATAGAATACAGGTATGGTAGGGCACCTTGCATGCAGCGATCGTCCAAGATACACGCAGCAGTGCTGTACGCGGGGTCCGTACGTACATAAGCTCATGAGAAAAAGTCGGTACTTTAGCCCTCGGAGCCAAACAATAGCCCCGCGCAGTATACACATACGCGTGTAACGAGGATGCGCGCGTGAGGCGTAATACTAATTTTCGTACACATACGCGCGGAAATGTATGAAAGTTCATTAGTCGAGGAGAGGAAAAGAGAGAGAGAGAGAGAGAGCGAGTCACAGCGAAAAGATTGCGAGAAACAGATTTGCTCGGCCGCCTTGAACACAGGTGTGCAGCTCGAGTTGTTGTTGAGTATTATTGCTGCAAAGTATAGACGCGGGTCGACGAGAGGCTCGTTCGCGTATCGTATTATTGACGCGTCTTGATTAAATTTCTCTCGGCTAGTTCTCTCCGTGCCGTTACAGTGTTACTGTGTGCAAGTAATTAGATATGAATGTAATATTTAATGCAATTGTGAGAACCGAGAGAGAGATTATTCTCCGGGTTCAACAATTACAGACCTACGGATAAAGTTTTGCTTTTTTTTTCTTCCTCATCGTCGAGTTATATATGGCGTATCAAAGGCATAATATTAATTACCTACCGAGGTACAATATACCTACTGAGAAATAAAATTAAAACGAACGAGAAACGGGGTAGGGGAGGACAGAAGGGCTAGAGGTTATCGTTCTTATTACTCTGCGATTGTATAAATGACTTAATGAAACGTGATCAACGAGACTTGTTAATTACTTGCCGTGATTCGCAATAATTCAAATTACTTGACGCTGTGATTTGAAAAAAAAATTTAATGAAAATGAAAGAAGAAACTTGCTGCCTGTTCGACGAAACGTAAAGATAAAGTCATCGAGTAAACAAAATAATATATTTACGCTGAAAATGCATAAAATTGCTTCCAAATCAATCAAAATGTCATCCGTCATAAGGCATAAATGTCTATTTACAAAACAACAGGATACTTGCAGTGTATATGCGAGAGAAAGAGAGTAACGCCATTTCAAAGGTGTATAACGTGATTTGGCGGGACCCGCTATATACTAGAGCTACAGAAGTAGTAGCAGTAGCAGTAGTAGCATCGCTTCGGCGATAATGTAATACCAAAGGAAACGCCGACAAACAAATGTCTCGTCATAAATCTGATTTATCGGCGCTCGCGTGGGAGAAATCCCTTCCTCGCGCGCGTATCAGCTCTTTTATCGCTACTGTGCGCTGCTGCTGCTGCTGCTGCTGCTTCGGTGCTGTCGCTTCTTCGTCTTTTGCTGCTTCATTCGCACTTTCGACTTCTTCGCGTGCTGCTGCGGCGTCGCCGCTCTTTTTTTCACTCCATATAAGCCCGAAAGCTATTGTGTATATTTATTTACGCACTGGGACGAGGGAATATATAAACTTAGTAGTACGCGCGTCTATGTGTATTGCACCGCGAGTATGTTAGATTGATGTACTTTTAAGTTGATGCGTACTCGTATATTATATATTATATACGTTGCGAAAAGAGATGATATAATAGGTATAAATAACGCGTGCGGGGAAAAAAGTTTCCTCGTAAAAAATAAGATTGCACGGGGATAAGCAAGGGTTGCAGAATCTACGTGAATTATCATAATGTATTGCCCAAAGATAGCGAATGTGTTGTGTTGTTCGTTATAGATCTTGGGTTATTTATTTTCTGCTTTTTTCCTTGGATATAATTAAAACGAATACGTGGTAATTTTTGAAATATAGAAATTTTATTTACATATAAATTCTTCAGTCTTTACTTTACACTTTGATGTAGATACCTAAATATTTACAAAACTAGCTCTTTTGCAGTGCATTCTGCGCACCGTAGATTTATATTTTACGTAATAATATATTATTTGATAGAAAAATATTTTTTAATCATTAGACATTAGATGCATGATGCCATTTTTCCAATCGATATAATTATAAAGACTGATTTGTAGCTTAGATAATGACTTAGTTTTGCTTCGTTCAAAGCCTTCTGTGTATCACGTAGCGCTATCATGCGGAATGCATGCGAATTAGCAAAATATCGCGAACCAGGCAACACACAGAGGTTATGCATGCCACACGCGACGTAAACAACGGAACGAGCACAGTGTAGTTAGAGAAAGATGGAATTCAGTGGTTTATTTAACGATGCTGCGAGGTAATTTTCATTTTTTGAGAACGAAACTAGACTTTAATATGTGCGCGCTACGCGCGCATGGAACTCTTATGAGTATGTCATTTAATATATGAAAGATATTATTAACTACAGAGGGCGTATATAGATGACACTAAAATATTTCTTGTACTCACATGAAGTTGGCTCTAAGAGGGTTCAATTCGATCTATAATCGCAATGGCTCTTATATTAATTAGATTATAAAAATATTATAACAAAATTCTTGATGTTATTGAACTAATTCCAGAGTAAAAGAGGAACTTATTGAGATGTCGTTTATTGAAAATCATAACGAGATGATTGACGAAAACCCCGATCTTAAAAACATCCAACTCCTACCATTTTCGCGAGAAAATTCTGCAAGTGTTGAAAATTGTATTTGTGACTCGTATTAATTATAAAGTAATTATAAATAACTCATTTTTAATTCTTCGACAGACCCATACCTTCCGGAAATGTAACACAAATCATGAAAATGAACTTGAAGACAAAGTAGAAATAGTTTTCGAGTGTCAAGACGTCAAACCCAACATAGATTTCTTAATAGTTGGAAAAATTTAAGATTATTCTTCAAATCCCTCGTGGAATATAAAAAATAGTGATGGTTATAAAAGTCAAAACATAACTAACCTAAAAACTGCGAGTGAACATGCAACTTTTGGCAAAAATGCAGAAAAATTGAATTTGAATTACGACTGTGAACTAGTAGATAAAGATAAAAAAAGAAGAATTACAAAAAAGTTAATCAACCGACATAACCCTAAAACTCATATCAGTACAGTCCATATCGATACAACCCATACATGTCCAATATGCCAAAAGAAGTTCTCAACTATGGGTAGTTTAAATAGGCATGTCAAATCATTACATCGCTGTATTACCCATTTATGTGATATTTGCGGAAAGATATTATCAAATAAGATTAATATCAAAAAACGTATCGATACGGTGCAAAATGATATCACACATGCATGTGATATATGTAACAAGACATTTTCCTTAGAATTTACTCTCAAAACCCATATCGATTCGGTGCACAATGATTCCATTTATTCATGTGATATATGCGCACATACATTCATTCACAAGTGTTAAAGTTCACATTGATTAGGTATATGATAAAATTACTCATGCAAGTGATATTTGCGGAAAGAATTTTCAGCTACGGGTAATCTCAAAATTCACATTGACACGATGCAAAAGGGTGTCACACTTGCATGTGATATATGAAGTAAGAAAATCTTAACTAAGATTTGTTTCCATAAACACATCAATGCAATGCATAATGATATAATTTTTACATGCGATGGATGTGAAAAGACATTCACAACAAAGAATTATCTGCAAATACATATCGAGACGATTCATATTGGTACTAAACAAGCATGTGGTATATGCGGAAAAGAATTTTCAAGGAAGAAGTATCTCAAAATCTACACTAATTTTGTGTACAATAATAATACACATACATGTGGCACATGGAAAAGAAATTCTCAATTAAGATTTTCATTTATAACATCATGATTTTCTCGAATATTATATCATTATGCGAAACCAGTGTTTGAGTTTTAAAAAATCATTTAATTTTTTAAGCAATTAAGCAATCAATAAATTTTTATGGAAAAATGGCAATTTTCCATCTTATTTCAGCTAGAGACAAAGGTAACTCGACTAGTCAAAAGTCGTTTTGAGCGACTTCATTTTTCGTTCCATCACTCGTACATTGGTAAGAAAAATAAAAATAAAATAATAATATATAATAAAGAAATGCCCTCCTCGTCTCTTACTCTTCTACTTCCTTAAGTTTGATTCGCCTTTAATTTCTATTGAAAGAAAATTTTACGATGTTAAAAGAACATGGCACATTTGAAATAACAAAAACCTTTTAGAACCTACCTGAGTCATTTTTACAATGAACAGCAACTCTCTGTTTGAAACTTCTGCAAATAAAGTTTGCGTAAGTATATGAAGAACGAGGAAAATTGAGGAAGTTTAAATCAGACTAACCGCAATATGGTTTTTTCGAACTACTGATCACCAAAAATACGCCCTTTCGCGAATTCGGCCCAGCTTCAATTCCCATTTTTGGACAAGTTTCGCATCCACGATTTCCTGATTTTGCGATTTCTTGTACAATTTCTAGAGCATCTTTAGGAGAACCATTCCAAGGATAAGCTGGAAAGCCACATTCATCTCTATTTTTGAAAATTTCCAAGGTCGCGATAAAATATTCGTAAGAGGCTTGATGACTGCAAATCATTTCGAAAAGTGCTGTAATTTAAAAATTTGAATTTAGCATCGTTTTATTTAAAATTTCAAGAATTTCATGAGAGCAACTTACGATAGTCATCATGGCATTGTAACTGTTTGACTCCAGTACTGACATAAAAATCAGTGTGTCCTAAAAATTAATAGAGATAATATTGTTAGAGATTAACTCATTAACACGGAATTTTATGTTTTTATTTATTGTATGCACCTAAAGCTCTGTCTATTCCTAAAGCTTGCAAAAAACGAGTCTCGTGTCCGATTTGCGTGTGTATCACGTCGACATAGGCAGCGTCCCCTTTATCAAGCGTGGTGGGCGAGTTTGCCTGCGTAAAACATGGCCTAGCCGGATCTAATCCAGTGATTCTATCCAGATGCCAGAAAGTGTCATTTTTTAAAAGATGAGCCGTTTGAGCACTAACATGTGCACCGAGACTATGACCGATAAAGTGCAAATGATTCCACTGCCATGTGTCACGATTGGAAACACCAAGCCTTGCTTCATTGTCGAAATGATCTTTCAGTTTCTGCAAAAATCTTTTCACTTACGATAGTATCGAGATCACTCGGTAGCATTACATAAAACTCTCACCTATATAATTCTGTGGCAACAACTGGAGTGTGTCGTGCAGCATTCACGTAATTTGTCTTATAACTGCCTTTCTCCCAGTCGAGTAAAATAACATTGGTGTCTATCTGTGTTTAATTTATTATTTCAAATATATCGTAAGAATCAACAGATACAATTTTTAAATAAAATAATATCAAAATAATTACTGCTTCCAAGAGCTTATCTTTAAGCTCTATCGTCCACTTATTTAGCGCTCCAGATCTATAACCGTGAATGATGATAGCTGTTTTTTTCTTCGGATCAAACGAGCCATCGTCGATATTGATGAGATTGTACCACATATTTTTGTAAATTTTTTCAGCATATCTATGTTTGTTTGAAGATACAAAAAAATTCGTCTGTTGTCTGTAAGGATGTAATGTGCTAGTCCAGTAAGCTACCTGGCCCAAAAAGTCGCGATTTCTTATGTCTTTGCACAAAATCTTTACATCAAATTCCGAGCCAAACGAGTAGCTCAGAAATAACACTAAGCAGCAAAAAGAAACACTTTTCATTTTTGAGCTTCAAAGTAGTAGAAATATATGGAAACTGATGAACTTTCATAAATTGCAAAATATATTTATAGAATAATTTTTATGCTAATTTGCATTTATAAGGCGGGAGGTACAAAACCAAATTAGCATGAAAAAATAAACACGCCACAAGTCTTATCTTTTGTCTGAGTATTGTATCTAACCATTGTCAAATTCGACAAAATACAACGATCATTGATTACAATTATAACTGAAGAATTAGATTACGTTTCAGTGTCAATGTCCGATAACGCTCACGACCATAATCAAACCGCGGAAAATTTACCAAAAAATACCTTAGCTCTAAAGACACAGAGCCCATGCAGCAATCAAGATGAATCAAGAAGAAGGAAGAGAATCAAAAATAATAAATCTTGCCATTTTTCAAAGGCATAATAGTCTCGCCACGAGCGTTCATTCGTTATCCCGCGCGTCGGGACGTTCAGGGCGGTGGCGGCGGCATTCTTCTTTTGCGCATGCAAGTCGCGTGCAATCGACTAAGTATTCACAAACGATCCCGGGCTTTCTCTCTCTCTCTCTCTCTCTCTATCTATGTATGCACGCACGTATACATACGTACATACGCCGTTATTTTTCAGACCTAATCTACGACGACGAAAATTCGCGCAGGAAGGACGATTTGTCGTGTGGCTCGAAATAGAAAAAAATTCTCTTTTCCTCTCTGCTTCTCCTTCTCTTTCTCTATGCCTCTCGTTCTCCCTATCCCAAGAGAAGGAGACTTCCTTTTCTCTTTCTGCAATCCATTAGAACTTTTTTAACGCTGCTGCTGCTGCTGCTGTTGCTGCCGGTACTAAGAGAAGAGGAGGAGGGAGAGAAGCACTTTGCTCTCTTTCTCCTTTTCTCTCTCTCTCTCACTCTTTCCACCCAGCAAAGTTTCGACTGTGAACAAATGCGAGTCTCCCGGATGTTTTAATCCCGGGGATGGCCGGTGATTTACGCCGGCACGGGACGACCAACCTCCTACATCTACCGACTCTCTGCCCTTTGATCGTGCAAGCGCGATCTTAGATGGCCCGAGATTACTCGGCTATGACCCAGGCGAGGGCACGGAGCTTCTCTATTGCACCACTCCACGCAGCGGGGGAAAGGAAAAACGAGCGAGCTCCACCGATGAGCTTTTTCATATAAATATAAGGTAACTGCAGCGCGGCCGGACGGACCTTTTTAAACTGAGTTACAGGTGTATTTTTCAATTATTTTTTCGGTAAAATAAAGTCGTTAAAGTACAGGCACTTTATGAGCGAGCTCTCTCTGTGCTGATTTAAACTATTTTGGGCGCAGGTAATTAAACGGTCGAGTAGGGACCATGGCACGAAGATATACACGAGAACGTGGAAAATAAAATTGAAAAAAAAACTCGTACTGAACGGCGAGCGAGCGAACGAGCGTCCTGAAACGAGCCTGAAATGAGGAAGCTAGAGCTCGAACAAGCCAATATAGCTTTTCCCCCTGCGCCATCCAAGCGCGCGCGCGCGCGAGCGTAATGTGCGAAAGCTTCGTTAAACGATCACCTTGCCGGGCGATTACGCGTAACACGCCCGTGCACAGCAACAGCGGGAGAGAAAGAGAAAATCAGAAACATCCAGGGCATGAACTCGCACTCGCTCTCTGCGGTGTTTCTCTATTTCCCTACTTTTTCGTGTTTGTAGCGCATGACTACATCGATTCGGCTCATCTAAACTGCACCCTGTCCTTCCAAGAGCCAGAGAGAAAGAGAAAACTTGGGCATTACAGTCCACGGTATCGCTGGACAAAGCTCTGCAACTCTCTCTCGCTGGGCTCTGCCTATAAAATGGTCATTTCGTACATGCGATTCTACCCCTAATCCTTGCTAAAATGTTTCTCTGACCGCACGACACAATTAACTGGGCTAAAATGTGTTTCCTCGTGCTACGTTTGACTTCTCTATTGTCGCTTATCAACGCGTCGAGATTTTTCCGACATTCCTCGAAGTAATGATCTAATTTTGTCCATATTTAAGACTAGATAACGTAATTCAAAAGAACGTATGAGAATTCTTACTCATTTATGAGAGGGTGAAAGTGCGATAGGGTTTAGGGTGAATAGGTGGATGTAACGAAAAAAAGTCCAATGGAAAAAGAAGTGAGCGTGAAAACAGAGGATTGATTTAGGGGAGTCTGTGCAAGGCGATATCAATGAGGAACACCTGATGTCGCCAGTACTTCATGCATCAACTTCTTTTCACCTTTAAAGAAGTATTGACGCACATTTTTTTTTATTTGTCTTTGTCATTCGATTATAGTTTATTCATTTGTACCAGCTAATAAATAAAGATTTCCGGGGGATAAGTATTCAGTGGAAAAGTTCACCACTCTTATTATTTAAATATACCAAATCAGATAAAATGCAGGTTTCGGCCGCGCGAAAAGAATTGTAGCTCGGTTTTCTGCAATTTCCGCATTCAAAAAGTTCTCTACAACGTTGAGGAGCGAGAGAGAGAGAGAGAGAGAGAGAGAGAGAGAGAGAGAGAGAGAGAGAGAGAGAGAGAAAGGAGAGAAAAAAAATGCAAACTGAAGTAAGTAGATTGATCCAAGCGTGCTCTGAGTAGTTTTTCATCAAAAGCTCGAGCCAGGCTTCCTTATTCGAGCACCTGCCAAGTAATATTCATAACACTAACCACTCATCTTTTAACTTGATGATGAGAGTGAGATGTGCGGAGGGCAAAAAAATGTATATAGAACACATTAAAAAAAGGAAAAATACTCTTTTTACGAATTATAAAAGAAAATACCGAGTAATTCAGAGAAACGGAAAGAAGATGCAACGGGCGAATTTTTCATTACTTTCTCTTTCGCATTTAATTTGCCTGTGCCCTCGCCGCACAGCTTCTTTTGGGGGCTCTGCAGTATACGCACGGCATGCACACAATCTTATCCCCGTCGCCGACTCTGCAGTACAGCGACGACGACGAGGGCGGCATAATGCATGACTCGAATCGGAATTCTAAAAGCAATTTCTTCTTATTTGCACCGAATGCGCGGGGACAATATTTCGGCCTCGAATCCGAGCTCCGTATAACCTGTTGAATACAATAAACAAATAATTCGCCCGCGTCGGAAGGAGGGTGCGAGAGAAAGGGAGGCCAAATTAAACCGAAATTTACTCGGTAATTACGTTTACTCTCATCGCCTAGCTTGACACAAAATTGTCTTACTCAGTGTTTAACGGATAACAGGTATATGACGATGCATAATGGGAAAATTAGCCAGCGAAGCGGCTGAAAGTTCCATATACTCGGCTATATGTAGGGTGATGAAATGTAGGTCAGTGCTATATAATGCAACTAATCGATATTGTTCAACGAGGATCGACTTGACTCTTTCGCTCTCTCGCTCTCTCTTCTCGTACCCCACGGCCGAATAAATGCATCCATCTATCTATCTCTCTCTCTCCGAGAGTTAAGCTCGAAAGCATCGTTTCATTCGCAGTAGACTTCGAGAGCTAGGCAAGGCTCTTTGACTTTAAACTAACGATCAGCGCTTTTAAGCTCAAAGCAAATCAAAGAAAAATTTTCATGAGCTAGATTTTCGCTAACGAAATTTTTCTTCTGAGAGGGGTCTAGAAAAAATTAGGAAAAATGTCTACGTCAACTACGAAAGTTCATACGTACGTACTATACGTACGTCGCAATTATAGAGGAAATAAATGTGAATTTGGCAAGTCAAAGAACGTCTCTCTCACTCTACGTCGTCGTTTGCAAAAGACAAAACAGCAACAAAGGACAATTAATTAACAGTTATCATATCAAACAACAAGGCTCTGACTCCTCTGGTTTATGTAGATACACATGCGCCCAGGCACATATACGCACACACCCACACACACGCAGAAGTCAGCTAGTTGATGTTATCTCGAGTAAAGACGCTCGAGGGCCTCGAGAACGAAGAGGTGGGAGGGATGACCACCACCGCAGAAACAACACGAGACAGTACACGAAGTTATGCTTATATACGTTTTGCCAGGCAGCGCAGTGTAACACAAAGTAGCTATATAGCAGGGAGCACGCGCCGTACACGTCAGTGTATGTGGGTGCACACACACTGCATGTGAATATGCATGGCGGCTGTTATATGTATGTATACGGTCTCGAGAACGGTCAGCTTGCTTTACTCAAGTATTAATGCTCCGATAACAAACTCGAGGAAACTTACGACGTTACACAGGGCAAATATAAGCCCGATCAATGAATCACACACACACACACACACACACACACACACACACACACACACACACACACACACACACACAAATATACAATGTAATATATAGCGAGGGATCATTGCTCGAGGTTAAGTGCTATATAGCATCTTCGAATGCGCCGAGGAGAAGAGGAAATGTATCGGTAGTCGAAAGGAAATTGACGATAAATACGTTGGGATTATATGTATGATTGCCTTTCGAGATGAGCTGTGCGAGCGTGTGCAAAGTGAATTTGGATATAATAGATGTGCGAATAATTGTTTGGGGCGCATGCATAGCCGGCGAGAGGCAAATCAATCGATATCCTGCTTGTAAGCGTCTATATGGAAATGCATCATAATGAATCATCGAAAATGGCTGTTTCAATTTTCAACTTTTATTACTTGGAGATTGATATTTCCTAAAAACATATGCATATAATATACGAAAGAAAAAAGCAAACGAGTGAATGAATTTTCAGTTCCAAAGTCATTTATCGAACGTTGATATTTTTCCTCTCTGTCTTTGTCCGACGTAGAGTAGCTCACATAGCAGCAGCAGCAGCAGCACGTGCTCGATTGACCGTCCAAGTGGTGCAGCGTGTCGAACGGTACACGATGTTGCGGTGGATAAACTCCGAGGCCATCGCAGCAGCAGCAACAACAGCAGCAGCAGCCGATGACTGAATTGATGAGGAGGTTTTGTCGCCATGGTATTTTTGGTTGATTCGTTAATGATCGTCGCGCCGAAGCTCGCAC